CGAGCAAAGGCAATGCGAACGAGCGTTCATTGTCGATATCATGTTCCACCTGTCTCGCTACTTCCACGGTCGTCTGGCAGGTTCCCAAGAAAAGGCAGCCACAAGAACACGCGCAAGACACGAGCGATTTCTGAGCAAGAGGCAACACGACTGGATTGGATGCGACGACTTCGCCCTAAGCCCCATAGACGTTACTAGGTCGGGCAATTTCAAGTCGACCATGGAGGCTCAGCAGGTGGCATGTCGCAATATCTACTCTCTTCCTTGTATCGTTGAATAGATGGAAAACTTTCACAGGCAACTAGGTATGAGAATGCAGATTTCCAAAGTTCGAAAGACACAGCCTAGATATTGAGTCTCTACGTAGAAGATAGGATGTTTTGAGAAGCAATGTAAGGTTCTGATATACGCAGAACGGCCAGTAGGTAACAGGATTGTTGCTCTGCTTTCGTGGTCAATGCTTTATAAAAAAGCACATCTAAGCATCTCTTGTAGGACACGAGAACGGTTAGGGATTGGGAACTGGAAAACCTGGAATCTACTAACAGAAGTTGATTGCGATTTTATAACGGCTTGCTTGTAGGATATATATACTATGTCTAACGATTTTCAAAATTTTGGAAGGTGGATTGTAAACTGCCTAAACCAAAATCTTCTCCCAATCCAAGATGCTAGAACTGTGCGCATGTATCTCCAACTTGATTAAGAGCATTTTATGCTACATGTAACCAGTAGACTTCGACCAGTTGGCACTCTAGAGTAGCCTCCGAGCTCATGAACAACTAAATTATAATTCTCTCTAACTAATGACCAGAGTGAGCTTTCAGACAATCTGTCGTGTCTCCGTTGTAAAGGTTTTCTACTGTTATAGACAGTACAGGTTCCAGAGTTCCTTTTCTCATGGCATCCACGTGTTGTAGGGGGTTTGGAGGTACCCAAGGGTACATTTATGCGGCCCACGCGGCTGACTGCAAGGAAGAAGTCGAGATGGCGATGATGAAAAGCTCGCTCTCTTGAGTGTCAGTACTGTTGACCTAATGTGGGAAATTGTAATTACCTCGAGTGCAATCATCCATGATTTGCCTAGCGTACCTATGATGGCAACCACAAGTAAAAGAAGTACCATTACAGAGAGATAGCATGAGATGTACTGCAGCTTAGGTCGGGCTAAGGTTGAATGTCGAACCATCAACCAGAACCATGCAGCTACACCCACATAGTCCACAAAGAGAACAAAGAGGCCACCCGGATGGACGGAGCTCAGGAGGAAGGTTCCAGCGAGAGACAACGCTACCTTAGCCAGCGCGGAAAGAACGGCGAAAGTAGGGTACACGATGCGTAGAAATCGAGGTGTGAATATATTTTCACGCTGTTGAAAAATTACATGAAGGTACTGTGGTACCGTTAGCCGACAGT